TGGCCTTTATAATCATTTAAATGAGGACGATATTTTAAATAAAGTGCGGACGTTCTGAATCTTTCCTGCGCTTCAAGTAATAATAATAAATCTTGATATTGGAATTTGCCAACTGCAACCGCTAATACATCCAAATCCAAGACCAGTTTTATCTTTGGTATTTTCCAATTTGAACCATCTGTTTCAGGTTTCTGATTCAGCGCCATTTTTGCTTGCATATTAATGGGCTCCAGCACTAAAAAATTTGAACAATAAAACAATTAAAAGATATTGATATGTTGATATCACATCATATTTGCTGCTTTACATAATCTCATGATAATAACTAGCTCCATAAAACAAAGTTATCATTTCCTGAAGACAAATAAAATGGTGATATATCAGAAATTTCCATTTTCTGATAATGATATTAACATTCTTAATAACATATATTTGGAGTAACTAATTTTGATATTTAATAAAAAAGTACAAATATGTTTGAATCCTAAAGCAATGATAACATTTGAACTGAAGTAGCGTTTCCGTAAATATTATGAAAAATGTGAATGAATAACAATTTGTCTATAATACTTACTGTATTTGTAATTAGATGGTTTTTTATTATCCGTCACAATAGCATTCTTCATTTCTTGCAATATGACAGCGCTGTCATTCGCGTCGGATAATAGTTCAGACTTAGAATTCCAATAAACTGCAAGATTTTTTAAAGATACCAATTTGTAGACTATTTTCACAACTTCCTTGTGTATCGTCTCATTCCAATTTTCATCAGTAGTCTAAAAAACATTATATTTTCGTGATTCTAATGAATTCATAATTAAGTTAAAACTCTGCAATGTACTTCACAACAGTCATACAATTACTTCTCAATAATAACATTCCATTATATATCAAATACATATTTATTGCTAGAGTAATCAAAAAAATCCTGAAATGTCAAGGTTTAAAGTTGCTCAAAAAACATACTTTGAAATCAATTCCCTCTAAAGTAGCGCCAACAACAAATGGATGACTGCGATTAGAATACTTATCTTCGTAGCGAATATGTATATTACGAATCGTTATTTGAAGATTCTTAACTACTGTAGCAATAAATTTCTCAACAAAGGTATCCGAACCTTGATCTTGTGGTTCTGAAAAATCAAGAACACTATTCTTTCGATTCAAGTTCATTAAAAACTTAAAAAAATTAAAAGAATTTTGATTTGAGAGAACATTCTTCAAGTATTACACATGATTCGGATGCCTCCAGTGCCTCCAGTAATCCAGTAATTCCTTCAACTAAACGACTATGAAAATTAAATTTTTAAACCCATAAATGAATTTCCATGCTGATAAGACTATGCATATTAATCAAACTAGTTTCCAAACTTACTCCTCTTTCGCTTTCTGTTTTCTTCAAGACGTAGTAAAGTTTTATCTTTTTCTTCTTTTGCATGTTTCTTTGATTTTTCTTCATTGTATACAACACCTTTATTCGGTACGACAATAAGGTGTAGTCCTGAAAACGTGTTCACAATAATTTCAGAGCAAGATTCCAAATAAGCAAAAAAATTGTACCATAACTTTTTGAGATGACGTACAAGTCCAATTCGAGAATGAAAAAAAATGACATGTACACTATATTATTCCTGTGATTACAAACATTTCTATGCAAAAGAGTAATAAATTATTCTGGATATTCTATGATTTTCAATTCAGCAAATGATATATGCATATATTATATTTGTACAATATATTGAACTAAATGAAGAATACGAATAGATAAGTTATTATTTACATATAACCTGAAAAATAAATAACTAAATGAATGAAGAGAAACCTTCAATGCTAGCAATTACTGGCTGACGATACAAATCACTCCATGGAATTTTTAGCACAAGTTCTGTCAGGCAGCCAAATTTTAATTTTATAGGTAAATCGAAATCATCTAGTGCTGTTTCTTTTACTTCCAAATTAACCAACCTCACATCTCCTGAAGCAGTCATCTTTAATAATAGTAATAAAAATAATAATAATAAATAATACATGTCTTTAAAATTCTGGATATTGAAAATGATCGCGGAAAAAACGTAATAATGCAAATATATTTTGCCTTATGAACTACGACTTGAACTTGAGACTTACCACCCCATATTCCAACGTTTAATTGTGAAGCATCGAGGTTGTTGACGAAATTACCCAAGACACGGTTAAGAACTTCAGCTACCACGCTCTCAAACACCATCGCTGAATGATAGAGATAATGGTAAATAGAAACCGAATGATTTGGACGAAGAAAACGAATAACTCCTATGAAGGAAACAAGACAAGTTTCAGAAAACTATAAGCTACACTTTTTTAAAATTAAATACATAAAATATTTCATCGCTGTTGAATTCTTTAGCTAAAAAATTCTTGAAAAATTATCTAAAAATTGTATATATATATATGTATTTCTGATCACATATTCTGCAAAAAAGTTTTTGCACAACAGTTTACACAAAGTGAAAAATATTGAAAATAGATTATTTCTTTCCAACTAGAATTCTGAAATTCGTTACAAAATAAATTATGAATCATTCAAAAGCATTACGTGAAAAAGACTGGAAAATGAATCATTACCACCCCATCCTTCATCAGATCAATCAATCAATCAATCAATCAGTCACAGCAATCACTCAGAGATAAATTACATTATTCGGGTTTCAACATGACTATTTCTAACATACAAGAAAAAGCTTTATATATTCAGTAGAAAAAGTCACTTTCGGGAGTGAATAAATGATATCATAATGTGTCTTAAATACAGTGAGATAAAGAACAGAAATGCTGAAGTTTAATCATCTTTAAATATGCAAATTTCTACATAATTCAATACTCACAATGCAATTTGGTGTTTTTTCTGCTTTTTTTCATGCTATTAGCGATAGATCAAGCATAAGTTAATCTTGGAAGTATTGCAAACATGCGCTAGTTAAGTGGAGACTAAAACACTTGTATAGACTTAGCAAGCAACGTCTAATGATGTCAGAGACATACGCAGATTTATTATTTGCAGCAAACGAAAACACGTGGTAAATGCATTAAACTTCATAGCGACCAAAATAAGACTATAAAGAAGATAATAAAATAGATATGAGATGTATTGATGCATAACAACGATAAGCTGCTGATAGATTAGATTACTATACACCGTTTGAAAAGAAACGTAAGAAATATTTCTGGTCACGTGATAATTAATTTCAACTTACTTTCACTATTCTTGCGTGCAAACGAAGAAAAAACATAGAGTGCTAGCATGAAGTCACGAAAGATATTGAGTATTGCGTTAATTCTGCATGTTTTAGAAGGATAAAGTGTAGTTGCAGTTGCTTTTTGAGTTAACCAATGATCAGTGCTTCTCAGGTCGTAAGCAATTAATTACTCCTAAATGAATGTGGCACAGTCAGTTCCTACCACTATTATCAAAGAAAAGAAATAATGTGTTAAGTTGTACTATCTAAAAGTGAGTCGGGTTTACATTACTTGACTGCTTAAACTGATCTGAAGTAAATGAGTAATGTCAAAAGTTAGACGTGAATTTTGTCAAGAATTTTATGACTAAGTTACGAGAAACCTAAAAATAAGACTCGTTTGTTTCTGACTGAAAGACAGACTGATGTTGACAGCTTCAGTACACATGTGATGACAGTAAATCACAAATACAAGGTGGTGACGATGTGGAGATGAAATTGGATTGACTAGAAATTGAAGAACCTGAATGGCAACAATAAATGAGTAACTTCAGTTATTCTCAAATGATGCACTTGGCTACGTGTCAGCTACGTAGCATGACAAACCAATACTTTTGAATTATATTTACGAAAAAAGTTAGTATCAGAAAGTTTGCAAGAGCGATATGCAAAACGAATATCGCTTCGCATTATTGGTATGCAAATATTAATCTTAATTTGTTATTAACAAACAACTTTTGGTGATTAGAAATAGACAAGACTGTTAGTTTTGAAATAGTAATTTCTTATTAGATACAGTTAATTCTGCAATATCAATAAAATCAGTTATAATGTAATTATTATAAAAAGGAAAAAGTAAGAGATTGTTTTCGCTCTAAAGGGTAATGCTAGTCCTGAACAAGCATTATTTAACCATGTTCGTAAAGATCATCCGATCTAAGTGAACTTTGACACGATCTGCAGAGAGAATGCATGCATTACTAGTCAAGTCTATTAAATCGCTTAAAGTGACTGAATAAATGTATCGAACTACGAATACATCTAGAATAGTTCTTCAGTTACAAAATTATCCAGTGCAGTTAGTTGATAAACAATTCGAAATCTAAAATCACCTCATCCATAATAAATGAGCTGACATAACTAAACGATCAAACTAGGCTACAAACTAAGCCAGCATATCTTTAATCTAATTTTTTTGGCAAGTTTTGCTCATTATCTTAGAATGACATGCAGACTATTACCTCGAATCACAGCAAAACGAAGTAAGTCATATGCAAGCATGACTTTTTAAGTGTATTGAAATGAAAATTCAGAAAGTAAGCAAGAATGATCAGTGGATTAATTTAAATAAAAAGTGAAATGAAGGTAAACATTTCAGTGCAGAGAGTAAAACGTAATTGTTACTTGCTGTAATATAATTTATCGGTAAAAAACAGAGAATAATATATCTGAAATAATTACAACTGAAGGGAGAGTAGTGCTAGTAAAAGTGTGCACCAAATTTCTGAAATGTTTTGTAAAGAATTCTAAAGTACAATGAAGTACTTCACGTTATTTCTTTGCAAAACAATAGCTACTTCTTTCTTGGTGTTACACTAGCAGACTGTGTTGAAGAACTCACCACATAACCAATTACACGACTCCCTTGCTACCCGTCTTTATTAAATACTTTACTTACTTGTCATTTATGATCGCAAACTTAGCAACTAAGCACTATAAAAACCCACACATCCTTAAATCAGACATCACAATGATCTATAAATTTCGATAAAAGCTCAATCAACTAAAATTATTAACTACACTTTAGCTAGTTCATTAGTTTATTCCTCCATTGTTGTTCTCTGTCCATGTATTCTGAATTCTTTTGGTTTGAAACCGTACATATTCCTGAATTATTATCAAAGACACATTACTGCTCTTCTCGATCGTATGTAAATTTATTCAAACTGCCAATTCAAAAGCAAATTCGTAGCAATACTTCTTACTAAGAATTAGACACACAGTATCTTCCGTATAGTACGTTATACTGTTTTAAATTTTTGAAACGAAAAGTGTTGAACTCGTAGTTGCTTATTAATCATTTATCACATTTATGCAAACTCAAATACATAAAACTGCAGATTCTATTTGCTAGCAACGTCTCTAGCTCAATCTGTTGGAACAGAGTAAATTTTGCTTCACAGAAGTAGCGAATGTAGACTTCATTACAGAAGCATTCATTTTGGATGGTATCATTGAGAAAACAAATTTGCACATGACATCCTAGCAAACCAAATAACATGTACCTGATGTATTTACTCATCCAAATGGAATAATATTTAGAAAATTAGTATATGACTTACTGAACTGACCGTCTTTAGTTTACACCTAAATTCCATTTTCTCTAAGAATAAACTTGACAAACAATCCCATAAAACATATCTCTTACCCCATCTTTAGTGCTACGGAATGCAAAATTCTAATTCAAATGGAATAACTTCACTTCTCATTTAGTACACACTGTTGAACTAAATGAGAAGTAAAGTTCCGGTGACATTTACTACTGATAAATCCATTCCAGTAATGAATGATTCAATGTATTTACTCATTCAAATGGAATAAACTCCTAATATTAATTAATACAATTACTAGAAAAAGATTCACGAGCAATCCTTACAAGATTGTCTGCATGGGAATATTATTTAACAACACTGCACGAAATAAACTGTACAGGAAAGTAAGCCCAAATGATCTGAATTTTTGACAATTCATTGATTCCTACGTTTAAGTAAACTTTTCCTAAATTCAGGTACATTACTAGCCACTATCTTAATTAAAGACATCACATAAAACGCGTATTTTTCGTTCCAAAGAAATAAGATTAAACAAAAAAATATAATACTTGTTCTTAGATATGCAAAAACATGTTTACAATAATATTAAATGGGATTTAGAATCCAGAATTTGTTGTTTATATTGCCAAAATGGATTTTGCTGATTCGAAACAACTGTCGATATGTTATCAACAGCATTATTACTCTTTGAACTAGTTAATTTAAATTTTTGAAACAATGAATTATCTGTTTTCTCAGAAAGCTGAACATCGGATGTTGACGGGAACATACGCGATACCTGCAACAAATGTTATTCTCTCATACTTCCATTAACACGTCCTATTCCGCTAATATGAGTTCCTTTCCTATTCTATTTTTATAAAATACAATTGCATTTGTTAAAAAAAATAAAAGAACTGTTGTTCTTTTTCTCTTTCGTTGAAATATGCAATTAATCTTTTTCTCAAAATTTTTATATTTAATTATAGTCATAATTAAAACTTCTCCCATGAAAATAAAAGTAGGATGACTCATTAAATAATGTAAGCCACAAATATTCCATACTTCAATAACATTTTTCTCTTGTTGCACCAACTTATCGTTTTTCTCACACGCTTTATAATCGTGGGGCTCTTCCAAAGTTTCACAAAAATTACTGTCTGGATCAATGTTCACAATTGGGATCATGCTGTCCATGACAAGAATATTTTTCTAAACTAGAGAATTGAATGATAATTGTTGAAAAAGTTAACAACTACAGAACTTGTAGTAAATTGCAATTCATAAAAAGAAATAAACATACTTGGATAGATGAAGAGGTAGCAGTATCAGTATTATCATCTAGTTTTGAAAAAGTGATTTGCTCAAACTGCGATTTCGTGAAATAGTCAGTACGAGGTCGAAGAAGAGATGTTAGCGTATTCATAACTCTTTTTCTAGGAATAATAAAAATATAAAACATATACATTGATAACCTTCTGAGAAAACACAGAAACGAAATACATCAAAAATAAGTAAAGGCATCGTACTTGCTTTTATCTATCCTTCCAGGAGTACTTAGCTCTTGAACACATGAGAAACTGACATGTTTTCCGACCAGTGACATCGTAACTTTTACTTGTTCACCAATTGCCTGAATATATTCATTCGCTTCATCATCTGTTCTGAGCAAAATTGCAACATTGTTGAACAAACGCGTTTTTGCAGCACGCCAAGTATACTGTTCTCCTGACTTCAAGTATAGTCTGCAAGTAATATCCGAAACATTTGATAAACCTCTTATCAAAAGTTGATAAGAAAATAGAACTAATGAATTACACTTAATCTCTTCCAATATTATGTCATTTGTAAATTAAATTCTGTATTTTTCAGTTTTGAAATGCCCATTCAATTTTTCAATCCTTTATTTCAATACGACCCGACTAATTTTCGTAATTAACAAACCTCAGATGAGTTCTTGATAATTTTCCTAGTCGTCCGCATTCTAAACTTTTGATATCATTGAAATCGATACGTTTTACATCTGAGAGTTTGGTATCATCATCATACGAAGCAGCAATGAGAATAGTTCTGAAACATAAAGAGCGTTTTTTAGTCATAAAGAAAAGTAGTAATCTAAAGTTTTGAAGAACCAACTTCGTTAGTAACAGAACACTATCAATCTGGTCAGTATTATTTGATCCTTCTACTAGGGCCCAAGCACCAATAAGTATCTCTTTCTCAGGAAGAATGAAAAGTATGGCCTCACGAACAAGTCTTCCTATACTTTCAACTTCTTCTTCATCTGCTTCATCATCAAAATGTTCATGAGTTTCATCCGATTTCAGAGATCTCCCTTAAAAAAATACATCAAATGTGTGCTGTAATTAGTTTACGAGAGAATAATTAAGCGCTTTAAACTACTGAGTTTTTTCCACAGTAAAACTTTTCGGAGAGAAATCAAGAAATTACATATTTTAGAGTTACCCAAAAGAGCATCAATAGCAAGTTGTCGCTGTGCATCCCTCATATGAGACAAATAATATCGAGAAGCTGAATTATAGCCATCTTTGACCAGACCTACCAGATTCCTTTGACCACTGCGTGTAATGTCTCCTTTCAAGGCATCAGTGCCAGCATACTATTAAAAATATTACTAATTAGAAAAATAAAACATGAAATCAATAAAAGAAAATTAACAATAAATCTGGGAAATCATGATGAGTGAAGATGACAAAGAAAATATACTTGTCTAGAAATGGCGTCACCGTTATCAGCCCAAATAGACTGCAGGGCTTGAATAAGCTGAATTGGTGCATCTGTCTGAGGACCAATAATACCAAGTTTTTGTATCAGTACAAGGCATACAGCCTGTGATATAGCACACTAAAAAGTTTTCTTGATGAAAGGAAAAGACGAGAATGGTCATAAATTTAACTACTATGAAATGAGGCAGAAAAAAGGAAAGTGTTATTGATGAACTGTTCTTGATTTCCGGCCAACAAAATGATGGAAACAAATATACTCGTAAAAAAAATATGATACAATTTAGTTTACCTGCACAATATTGGTTCTATCTAAACAATCAACACAATTAGTTCGAATCACACCACGCTGTTGATGTATCATTTCACCAGATTTGTCAACCCAACAAAAACCCATACTAGAAATTTGCTCAGACAAAGCAGATACTAATTCTGCAACCTAAAATGAGCACTAGAAATTCTTGATAAGGAAGTAGTTAATTGCTGCCTTTGTGACTGCAGCACATAAATTATTTCAGTATTTAACATTGCATATAAATCGTTGCTAACTTTATAAAAACGAAGTCCTCGACAACGAGAATGGAAATCATACGTAAAATATGAAACATCTGGTGAATTCATGTGAAGAACATGTTGGAGAAAACTTAGGGCAAGTTGTACTTCTCTGAAATTGGTTTCATTTCCCATTTTGAACACAAACAATAAATTAATTGATCAATTAAATCCTTGCAAAACATCACAAAGTTCGAAAAAGTACCTGCCCCTTTGCTCAACTAAGTTGACTATTGTCAAAGGTGCATCATAAGTTTCAAGCATTTTTTTAATGTGTTTTGCGTAAGCAGGATATGAATCAGTAAATGTTTTGCTTATTACAAGTGGTGGACGATAACGATATCCTTGCTGAGTCCAGAAAACAGGAACTGATCCACGTACCTGAAAATACTCTGTTATTTCACTGTGGTAAAGAAATAGCAATTATCAAAGCAAATAATAAAAAAAAAGCACAAATAATATTATATTTTCCATGATATTACCATATAGTTTTCATACAAAATTTATTTCACGTATTATCTTTAAAAAAGCAATTAAGAACCTGAACAAAAGAGAGACAATGACCGAAAACTGCTAATATGACTTCGGTTTCAACAAAATTGGCAACTTCACCATTTTCATCGACACCGCGTTTTAAATATCGAACGCCCGCACGATTTATAGAACGCCTTGATATCAAAGCTACTTTTAATTCTGCCTCAGGTTCAATCAGCAATGTTCTAAAGCATATAAATATTACTTTACAGGAAAATCCAAACCAAAGTAACAGTGAATACTAATAGCGTTTAATATACGTTTTTGACTTAAATCACAATTACAAACAGGTGAATATAAAATTTGTCTATTCAAAAAAAATAAAAAAAATGAAGGAATCAAAAATATCTTCCCGATAAAACTAAATCAATTTTGAAAAATGTGGCTATCATAAATCTCCAAGCTTATAAACTGACCTTTCGGCAACAAATCCTTGACATACTGGCATGATCCACTCTTCTGTTCCCATAGTCGGAAATCCTTCGTCGTCATACAGATCAGTAAGCAATGAATAGTTCCAAAAAAAACAATTATTTTTGTTCCTTGTTGAAAGTCTTCTAAAATTTGTCTTCATCATTTAATCCATACGCTAACTGCTATTTGTATCTTAAACACTGAAAAACATGAACGACTTTCAAAGAATCATTTAAGACAGAAAATAATGATACCAGTTACAAACAAGACAAAATTTTTTACTTCAAACAATTTATTACAAATTTTGCATGCAGAAAATAGTACATACCTCTGTATATTTAGCGTAATATTTTTGGTAAAACATACGTAAAAATCTTCTCCATCATTAAAAAGACGAAGAATCTCATCAATTAATCGAACTGTACTCCCCTTTCCAGTAACAAAATGCATCACTTTTTTCTGTGATATTTTAATCTTCTCCAACTTTGACATTGAACTATTTAACTAAAAAATATATAGAGTCAATTTAAACAATTTCAGTGGCACTTGAGTACGACTCATAAATAATTCCATCAAAGCAAAAGAAAAAGAGGTCATGAATATTTTGGTTTTCTCCAATTCATATTATAATTATAAAGTGTCTTTAAATCATAAAAACTACAAAAAATTGTTCACCTTACTTGGATGACCATCCTTTTCCACGGGAACAGCGATTACTCTGTCAATCCGATTGATTTCATCCTAAGGAAATTCCTACACATTTAATAAAAGATCAGTTTTATCTAAGAGATAATGTAAGCAAAATACTTATCAAATTTCTTAGTGCCAAGATTTGAATCCCAACAGTCACCTCGGAGAAAAGGAAACTTTGGGGACCAACCTAGCAAAATATTGCGAGGGATCGTCTCGAAGATAGAGTGATTCAAACCAATACATTCTTAATCTTCGAATTTCACAATCAGAAATTTACATTTATGCAAGGATATGAAGCCACTGGTGTGCACTGAGTTCCAAGCAATAGATAACATTCGTTCTCGACCAATATTTTACCAATAAAAACAACAAATTCTCCCAACTCGACAGCATTATCAATATGCTCTGCAAATTAATAAAGAAAAACTGATGAAAATAAAACACTGCTGGATTCCGAAAGTCTCAATTTTGAAGATTAGAACGGAAACGGATTGCCTTACCATTGACAGAACCGGAAAATAGTTTTCTAGTTGTTTTGCAGCATTTCAAGACTGAATGTTTCTGCACCAAATATAAATAGCTCTTAGTAGCCAGTAATTTCATCTCTCCGAGTTAGTCATCAAACTGTTATTGGTAAGATCTTTCTTGCTGCAAAAGACTCATTAATAATTTCTCCGTCGATTACAACAATTGTTACATTCAAAGAGTTCTTAATAATGCGGCACTCAATTTAGCATGACAAAATTTTGCAAAGAAATAATATGTAATCTATTCTGATGTAAAGTTTTTTT